ATACTGACACCAGAGCCACTGTTTACTGCAAGCAGTTATTATTCATGAAAACAGACATTTCCCAGAGGCAGAAAACAGGTGCTATTAAGAGTGTGTGTCAGTCTCTGAAGTCTGGGTTTTGTAAAATAAACCTAATAGTATATTTTATCTCCTAGTGAAAAGATTACAACCAACAGAAATCTGTAAGAAACATTCAATTGAAGATAAAATGAAATCTAATTCACAGGGAAAATGACCCCCGCAGACACATAAACCTTGAGCTTTTTGGCCTTCTCAAGCCCTATAGAATTCATTTATCAGAGAAATACATAAGTAAAATGTAATTTTTATTCCAAGATTGAGTCATACAAAGGGGCCATATGGTCCTGAACTAAAAGAACCCTGTCCTATTTTGGAGAGGCAGCTGATCTCTTCTGACTGATCTTTCAGTGCCTTGAATTTCTAACTTGTGAAATTATACTGCCAATTTCATCAAACATGTTATATGCACAGAATGTCCAAAGAAAGATATTAGGTTCTCAAGAAGGAGTTTATAAGATGTTGAGAAGCCAGGTCATATACTAGCAAATACACTGTACCATTATAGAAAAGCCTAAGTACCAAATGAGTAGTTCAGTAAAACAGGGCATTTCATTTTAAAACCCTATAAACCTCCTTAAGGAACGAGACAGATTTTATTTATAGATTCTTTCTGATTCCCTCTCATAGGGCGGCAGATTAAGGCATGAAAGAGAAAAAAATCTGGAAGCCCCTTTTTCTCGTAAAGCCCTCATAAATAAAAAGTGCTATATTAAGCACAGAAACTGTAAATTTATCATGAACCCTAAAAAAAAAAAAAGTCAATCATTAAGGTGTCAATTGTCTCATAAGTTAAAGCATGAAGTCCCAGAAGACAATGTCACATCTCAAAGAAAAATAAAGATGGCACTGAATTCGTCCATAATCAAGTAAACTGAAAGATAACATTCTGAATTAGAAAGAGGAAAACTACATACTAGATAAGTCTATGAGGCAAAATGTGAGTATCTGTTGACTTCCAAGTGCAGCAGTCAGCAGGCTCCTCTAAACAAACGTCATTATCAACACCAGTGGATGTGCCTTACGATGTCAGGAAGAGGTGACGAAGACCTCGAGATGAAGTATGCATTAGATGTAGACATGTGTTTATTTATTTTTTTAGAGTAAGGTGTATTTTAAAATGTTGGAAGGAACCACCTGTGATTTTATTTTATTCTCATGAGCCTCTCAATGGCAATTTCCCATTCAGGCCTATACCATACTTCACACTTACTTTATCAAAGCCTGACATGAATACCACACAATAATCACAGGCTTCTCCCAGTGAGTTGACCCAACCATCAACCTTCACAAATACTTAGGGCTTCAGGGCGCTTTTCTAATTTTTTTTAAAATAACAAATGGTATTTAAAAGAATTTGAAAAACTGTTACATGATCTATGTAACAAGCAGATCAAATAAGCCCATCCTGGGTTCTTTTCTAACAAACATGTTGATGAAAATACTAAACAAAAAGATTTTACCTCTGTCATACCTACTCAGAGACCATGGAGCATTCCAGTTTTACCCAAGTTCTGCTCACCTCCTGTAATTTATGTCTTGAGCGGGCACTAGAATATCCTGAACTTAAGTGGGTAACAGGTAAACAGCGTCCCAGAAAACGTGGTGGAGGACGGGGCATTGAGGAAAATTCCCTTAGCTTAAATGATCTTATAGGAGGTCTTTTCTTGATTTTTCTGTTTTATATCTATTTCATGTTAAGATTTTTTTGCATATTTATAATTATTTTACAATATGGCATGTTCTGACACTTGCAAGACAATGTCAGTACTAATATCTGTGTTTTTGAAGAACATTTTAGAAAATATTTTGGTACCAAAATACAAAGAATCAGCTGTAGACTGTGATCATTCATAGGTGTTTTTTTTTTTTTTTAACCTGAAAACACTCCCTAAACTATTGAAATAACCATAAGAAAATGTGTACCACATGCTTCTGGGTGTACTTTATCTCTTCTAAGGTCCTTGGGAGTAAGCTTCTTGACTAATTCATCTTTATGTTCCCCAAAGCACAAAACTCTGTAAATATTCAATAAATATTTGTACTAGTATACTCAGAAAAACTCTTATTACACAGAACATTCTATATAAGAATCCAATTGTTCTCCCAACAGGTTGTTCATAATAACAATATTCTCTTGATCTAGTTATCTGGTTATTGAGACTGCCTATAAATAAACCTATACAAAAACGAAATATTTGTTTTCTGGTTGAGTCCTTACAAAATTCAATTAACCAGAACCCCAACTAACGAGAACCTCTTACTTAACAGATGTTTATCCTGAACACCAACTTTTTTTTTTTAGATTTTATTTATTTATTTGTCAGAGAGAGAGAAAGAAAGAGCAAGCACAAGCTGGGGGAGAAGCAGGCAGAGGGAGAAAGAAGCAGACTCCCACTGGGCAGGGAGCTCAATGCGGAACTCGATCCCAGGACCCTAAGATCATGACCTGAGCCAAAGGCAGATGCTTAACTGACTGAGCCACCCGGGCACCCCCACCCTCAAGAATTCCCGCCAACCTGGCGTGCTTGGGTGGCTCAGTTGGTTAAGCATCCAACTCTAGATTTTGGCTCAGGTCATGATCTCAGGGTCAAGAGACTGAGCCCTGCATTGGGCTCCACACTGGGGCGTAGAGCCTGCTTAAATTCTCTCTCTCCCTCTGCAACACCCCCCACTGCACCCCCACCCTCTCTCTCTCTAAAAAAAAAAAAAGAGAAAGAAAGAAAGAAAGAAAGAAAGAAAGAAAAAAAGAATTCCCCCCAACCCACTTCGTTTCTACACCTGCCTGATCAAACTTTAGCACAGTGCATCACTCTGGCTTATCAACCACTTTAACTACACAGATACTTTTGTAAATGATTCCACGCAGCAGCCTCTAATGCCAGGAGAATTTAATGTGCAGCTCAAGTCATCTATGCAGGCGGTAACGTATGGCATAAATATATAGTTACCTTGTCTTGCTGCTTAAAAAAATGACTCTCCCCTCAAAATAATTTTGAACTTAGAACTAACTACATCCGAAGAAGCTGATGATGTTTCTGACAGTATATATTTAAGCTATTGTCAGTCATTTAAAAATAATTTTTAAATAATCATATCTGAAGAAAGGTTGTTAATGTGTCTTATTTACTGAGTACTTATGTGTAAAAATCACTGCACAGCGACGGTCAGGATACAAAGATGAATGAATATGGACATAAATAATCACAATTAAAGGCAGAAAACAAGACCAAGAGGGGGAGATGTGTAGAACCAGCGCTGTAAGACCAAGGAGACTGCATCCAGCTATAAAAGCTGATCAAATGCTATCTGGGGTAGGCCTCGTATTTCAGCAGATAGTTACTGGTGGGGGGGGCGGCAAAGAAATGACACTGAGGAGGAGGACCACATAGGTAGGAAATCATGAATCACACAAAGAGTCTAATTTGGCAGATAACAGAGTCCATGAAAAGGGGCTATGCCCTGCAGGATGAACAAGGGGTTTCAGACAAACTCATAGAGGAGAACACTGAAGCCACACTGGAATAGAAAGTGAGAGGAAAGAGGGGTTCAGGGATAGAGGAGAAGGGGGCCAAGAACAGGTAAGAAGGAATACCCACATTCACTTTTTTAAAAAGATTTTATTCATTTATTTAGAGAGCATGTGCGCGTGAGCGGGGGGGGAGGGGCAGAGGGAGAGAGATCGTCTCAAGCTGACTCTGTGCTGAGCCCGCTCGGGGCTTGATCTCAGGACCCTGACATCATAACCCGAGCTGAAATCAAGAATCAGACACTTAACTGACTGAGCCACCCAGGCGCCCCAGGAATACCTACATTTCAAGGGCCTTCAAGTCCCTGAAACTGCTGAGGAAGAAATGAGTGCACTACTGAGCATCATATTCTTTTATGGAAGGCAGATGGGAACATAAACCCTTTATCCATCTAAAACCAAAGGAATAAATCATTCAGTATGTCAAGTTCTAAACGTGTCAGTATCTAAAAACACCACCTAGCTATCACAAAAAGACAAGATAAAGTATTTCCAGCTATTACCCCCCATCTAAAAAAACAATGAATGATTAGGTAAGGAGTCTGTTCAGTTAAGTCACCTAAAACACATAAATGAAAGAAAGGGTCTTCAAGAAGACCTACATGCGATGCTCACTGACCTAAGAGATGTCCCGGGAAGTTCCATTAAGCAGAACAGAAGTATGACCAAAAAAACTTCCTATGTAGGTTTTTCCATTAGATTTAAAGGAAAAAAGGACTTCTGGTCAATCCAGCACATCTAGCTTGCTGATCTCTAAGGAGTCTTAAGTCATTCCTGAATCCCAAGGGTTTAGGAAAGTGGGGTACTGAGGCTTCCTATAAGTGTTTCATGAATGAGAAAAAAAATGGAGAAAGAAGGGCCTAAGAACCACGTTTCAGATTTACATAGTATAATTTACATCCTGGAGTCAGTGTACAATTATAATATGCAATATGCTCATGCCTGAAGTATCAAATTATGTCCCTCAGAGTCTGTGAATGATCAGAAAAAGACTGAGCTATACTTACGACACTATACCTTCTAAAGTTAGGGCCAGATAATGTACATATAGATACTTTTCAGTAGTTTTAATATGTATTAAAACTAAAAAGGTTTTTTTCACTGAGTCCTAAAATTAACGAACTGGAATATACCTCATTCTTTGAACATCTCACTTAGTTGATACACTTAATTATACACTGAGTTCCAAAAGCTCTAATTCTGTCAATATTTTAAGTAAGCTCTACACCCAACGTGGGCCTTGAACTCACGACCCTGAGATCAAGAGTCACATGCTCTACTGACTGAGCCAGCTAGGCGCCCCCCTGGCAATTTTCAGATGTAAGAAACGCGACTGCTTAATGGTCTATAATAGTGTGACTATTTAATCAAGCAGAAAGCTGATTCTTGGTACCTTTATGGTTTCAGTGGGCACTCCAGGCTCCGGGACTTTATCCAAGTAAGTGGTCAAGTCTTGATCAACATGTTCAAACACTAATGTTAGTTTGGTTTCTCTGTCTGTCCGTGACACTGTGCATACATCAAACAACCTAAAAGAAAAAAGAAAGAGGTATTAAAAGTAGGCGACAATAAGCAAAGAAGTAACCTATATGTCTTACATATATCCTGCAATTCGATCATACAACAGGAAAAAAAAATACCAGTGTTGATCATTGTGATAAGATGTAAGGATGCCTAATGGGATCTGATACTCTAATAGCAATATGAGATTCAGGAGAGAAGCACTTGATTAAGTGATGACAAAATCCACAACAGCAAAGAGAAAACAACATGACCGGAGAATAAGAATGTCTGCCTGGAGAGTTTCCTTAGTTAAGACCTTACTTACATACAACTTGCCAACAGAGATAGTTGAAAAAACTGCAGCCTAAGAAAAATATGGTTCTTCTTAGCACCAGTTCAAGAATTATTAAAGAGACAGATAAAGCATTCTTTGGAGATGCTGGACTCTGCAGTGAAGATTTTCCTGGAATTTAAGGTGTTACAATCATGCCTGTGAAAATAAGGATGATGAAATACAGAGAAATTTGGGTTATTTCTAAGAGGAACTTCTCATCCTGGTGAATCAAATCATTTCCCTGGAAAGGACATAAATTCTTGGTTTAAAAATTCCAAATATCATGCTAATGAAAACTGAAATTTTAACATTTTTGGGGGGAGAGAGGGGGTATTTGAAACTGCATTAGTAAGCTACATTACCCTTAACTGATAAAGACAGAGTAACAAACTTTATAATTAAGTTTGGATGGGTGAATCTAATGTCTTCCATACAATTCCACGACTAAGTCAAAATTCAAGTTTTAAAAGCGAAGCCTTCAATAGTCAAAAGCATTTTCAAGCCCAAGGACAAATTCTTCTTTACTTTCAGCCACACACAGGACACTATCCAGCACATGAGATGCTCACCCCATGTTTGAATAATTAAACAAACCACCTGTAAACAAGCTGTAAGTAAATTTGACAGAATGTAGTATAAATACTAAGAAAAGGCTAATAAAATGCTATTCTTAGTCTTTTCTTTCATTTTTAAAAACCAAATAAACATCTTTCTTTCTCTTCAAAGAAACTACAAATGTGCATATAACCCGTCACTAAAATGCAGGGTTGACTCTCAATTATGTACTTTGTATATTACCTCTGTTGAATTTTTAATGCCAAGCTGGTTCATCAGGCCATCCCACTGCATTTCTGGGCTAAATGGGGCCCCACAACATCTGGTACTTCTCTGTGAATTTAAACTAAGCTTTAAAATAAACTAAAGAACACTATAATTAAGTTAAATCTGGTGGGATGGATACCGCCACCAACCACACACACTTCACAGCCAGATCCATGCTACTTTTTAATTTTGGGCAGGTTGGGATGAGTTCTACAACTCCACTAAAATCAATTAAGACCAACCGAATTTCTTCTCATGTTTATTTACTTCTAAATATTCCGATTTCTAAGTTTTAAAGATTTTATTATTTATTTGAGAGAGAAAGAGAGGGTGTGTGCATGTACACACACACACCTGTGAGCAAGGGGAGAGGGGCAGAGGGGGAGGGAGAGGGAGAGAGAATCTGAAGCAGAGCTGAGCCCGACTGGGGTGTATCCCAGGACCAGGAGATGATGACCTGAGCTGAAACCAAGAGTTAGACGCCCAACCAACTAAGCCACCCAGGCGCCCCTGATTTCTAAGTTTTATTAAAAAATTTTTTTTTAAAGATCTTATTTATTTATTTGAAAGAGAGAGAGAGGAGAGAGAGAGCATAAGAGCAAGGTGAGGGGCAGAGGGAGAAGCAGACTGCCTGATGATCAGACAGCCCGATGCGGGGCTCGATCCTGGGACTCTGGGATCATGACCTGGGCCAAAGGCAGATGCTTAACCAACTAAACCATCCAGGTGCCCTGATTTCTAAGTTTTAATCATCTACTTCTAAACTTGATTTTTTTTCAAATTCCAAAGTCTTCTGATGTCACTAATGTGACTTATTCTGGAAAATTATTCTGATAAAGTAAAAGCTCCTAATAAATTTATTAAAGATAAATCATCAAATGAGTGCCATACTATGACAGTGATGATTAGTATCATGCATGAATTCGACACTTGGGAAGTTTATCAAAACAACTCCTTCAGTTTGGTAAAATGAACCCATTTATTCATGGGCTCCTTTGAACCATCTTCTTCCCATTATAAAACCCACATACTTCGCCAGCTTCACTTTTGTTCTTCCTTTTGAAGAAGAAAAAGGAGTTCCACAATCACCAAGCTTCTTTGTATAGGTTACTTCTATTTTTGTAATAAAACAGCAATGAATCAAAAATGACATGCACTAAATTCAAACACAAACATGGGAACTGCACCATTACAGTAGTGCTTCTTAAATATTACTTTTTAAAATGTTTTCCATTGTAATTAATACATTTCCTTCATGAAAAAAAATACTTTTTTAACCACTGCCTCAGGTCAGCACTGATTGTAGTAACTCCAGTTCTTCCTGCACTTATAGTTTGTAATATATGACATTTTAGTAATTTCCAAAAGAAAAAAAAAATTTGACGGGGACAAAACTGGAGAATAAAATGATCATAAAACACTGCTGAACCAAAAGGTCGCCTGCTTCCAAACCGTTGTTAGTTACCTAACCGTCGTGGCAGTATGCTATGTTGCTTCATTTTACTGAAACCATGCTTTCAAACACTGTTTGTATGACACAATTCAAGAATAACATCTAACACACCCAAGTTATTTTCCTCAAAGTTATAACATTCTCTTCAAAATATGAAGACTCACCGATGGTACCTGAAGCAACTGGACTCCATACACAGAATGGGCAAAGGTGAGCCCATGGAAGCCACTGCCAATTGCTCTAAATCATAAGCCATGGAGAAAAGGCACTAATTTTAATCAGCAATTTTTTAAACATTTTATTTGAGAGAGAATGAGAGAGCGAGAGCGCGTGAGCGCACACACGAGCACGGGGAGGGGCGAGGGAAGGGACAAGCAGACTCCCCGCTGAGCAGGGAACTGGATGCGGGACTCGATCCCAGAACCCTGGGATTATGACCTGAGCCAAAGGAAGACGCTTAACCAACTGAGCCACCCAGGCGCCACTAACTGGCAATTTTTAAAATGCGGAATTTTAAAGAGGTATGTGTGACCATGCATAGCATACAACATTCCTGTATAAATTGTAATGTATATTATTATTTTATTTTTCAAGGTTACAAAAAGAATGGTGTTAGGTAGAAGTGGCTCATGCTGGTTCAAGGAGATAATTCTTTTTATTTTTTAAGGTGCTATTATTTTGGGAGGTGGACTTTCTGAAATCAGATTTTAGAACTTTATTTTACAAGTGAAGATCGCAGTTTTCATTTTGTGCTAACATTTCTTCCCCACAGATAGAATTTAGACATTCATATCTTCAAAGCAAAAAATCATCAAAATAGAAGATTAGCATAGCATAGTCACATCCTACTGATGATGGTTATACATGCATGTTTTTTATTGGTCCCAAACCACTGGGAGTTTATTTAACCAAGGCTCTCTAAGCTTTTATTATTTGTGTGCAACTCCAGAGAAAACCAGTTTATCAATTATAATGTAGTGCTCATGATCAGGGTAAATGACACTCTTCCAGTGAATAAATACATGTCAGTCATTGCACAGGTAATTTAGGTCTCTTTTATGCCCCCAGTACAGGACAACTATCGAATTATCTAGAGAATCAAATTTAAATGAAATATCCAAAAGGTAGCTCATATGATGGGTATAATCTAGATGATCTTAGCCTAAATTTATTCCTTGCTCCTCAATAAAGAACAGAGACTCCAGATACATATTCCACAGGTGCAATGATTTCTTTTCCTTGGTCAGTGCAGAAATATAATTTGTACTTCCCGAAAGCACCTTCATCTGTTTATCCATGAAGAGAGCTTCCCTTTTTTTTGCCTTTGTCTTATTTTGAATATATAATTCACAAGTTTATAAACTTTTCTAGTGACTTCATTTCAGCGTTTATTTCATAAGGTAACATTTGAGAGGGTATTTTTATTTTATAGGTTAACTATTTTAAATTCACTGTTAGCCAAGTTAATAGTAGTAGTTTTCTTGTAGAGAGTGATTCTAAACACAGTGAGTAGATGCCTACTAGCTCTCATCCTATATTTGAGAACCATATACTACTTTATTGTCCATGCCTCAGGTAATAGACCACAAAGGCTTACTGGAAAGAAAAGAAATATGGCATCAAATTGGTCATTTCTTCCCACCCCTCCCAAAAGGCCAAAATAGTTTAGTGGCTAAGTTTTCAAGTTTTCTTAACTAGAATGAAACATGAGTTTTAGGAGAATTACTGATTTAGTTGAAGGGAGAAACCAATGAGTAACACAGTATTTTCGAAAAGTGTAACAATTTTGTGAAGATTATTATCAGTTAATGTTGCCCTAAGCTTTGCCAGTTTTTAAATGATTTTTTTTTTTTTTTAATTGCAAGGGAACAGGCTTAAACTCGGGAAGTAAAATATAGGCCAGTCTATTATCTACATACTCTTCATCTTGGCCATGATGTCTTCCAAGCTTTCACCAGAATCTTCCACAGTTACACCTCAGGTATAGAACCTTCTTGCTTTTCGGGAATTGTTTATGGCAGGGTCATTCCTTCAGGTTAAGTCAGGAACTGGACCTGAAGAATTCTGCAGTTCCTCCTCTGAAACCTCAGATATCAACTCAGTACCCCATCCCTTATCTTCACATATTATCTCTTCTTCTTCTTCTCGAACAACCTCCTGTCCCTGTAGTCTTCCTGCTGCTTCCTGCAATTTCTGTCAACACACTGAGGATTTGGTTTCATGGACCCAGCAGGAAAAAGATCCTGCACTGCATTATATCCAAGGTAAAAACTCACAGTACCAAAGTTTAACAGAAACTTTAACACATTTTGTACCAAGATCCTAGCAACCATGCCGATAGTGGTAAGGGAGACTGGCTGCACACATACCGTCTCATTTGAGAGTCTTCTCATCAGTATTTGCCTCACTTTGGTGGT